CAGGCAAACTACATATTGACGCTATTCTGGGAGTGGATGCGCTGGGAGCGTTCGGAGCGTTGATAGATGTCGCTAACCGTTCTATGCTTCTCCAACGCCCTGGGGAGACTCTGCCGTTAGGAGTGGAAGCTATTGAAAATACCTACCTTACGACTATGGCGGCTTCCGTACGCTTGCCTCCGTTTGGCCAGGCGTTAGTTGTAACGAATCTCATTGGGGAAATTCATGACGGATCTGCTATGCTGATCGAAGCCGTGATGAACTTGCCGCCGGCGTTGGGGGTGACCCGGACCCTCGGCATTGCTAAAGACAAAGAAGTCGTCATGGAAATCTGTAATGCCTCAACAGAGAAATATTGGGTGGAAAAGGGCACTACTATTGCGGCTGTGTCGGTGGTTCCTGACTCCGCTTTCAACTTCGAGAAGAAGTTCCCCTAAGTCAAGACACTGAAGGTCCTTCGTTGGTAGCCGCTACCACTGAAGAAAGGTTTGACAAGACCGCAAATGAGGGCCGTTCTGAAGACCCTACGGTCCCTGACTCTACGGCGAGCGTTAAAGCTGACTTCTCGAGTTCTAACCTATCTGAAGAACAGAAGGAACTGTTCCAGGCCGAACTAGACCGGTTTGGCGATATGTTTGTGGAATCGTCTAAGAAGTCGGGTCGAACGGATCTCCTGAAATTCGAGATCGACACTGGGAGTAACCCGCCTTTTAAGTCTCAACCGTATCGCGTGTCGGGTGCCGAAGGTGAAGTAATGGAGTCTGAGATCCAGCAGTACTTGGACCTTGGTTTCATTCGGGAGTCTTGTAGCCCCTGGGCTAGTCCGGTATTGATGATAAGGAAGACGGACGGTGGAATTCGTTTTTGTATTGATTACCACCGGTTGAATTCTGTTACGTTTAAAGATTATTATCCTATGCCTCTAATCGATGTTATTCTAGACGTGCTCGGCGACGTTCGACTGTTCTCAACTATGGATATTGCGTTTGGATATTGGAATGTGCCTATGCATGAATATAGTATTGCTAAGACCGCTTTCACCTGTAAATACCGTCTGTATGAATGGTTAGTGATTTCGGGTTGTGTAATGCAGTGCCTGCATTCGAAAGACTGATGGAGACCTTTCTAATCGATTTGAAGTGGCGGATTTGTCTTGTCTACCTTGACGACTGTGTAATTTTTAGCAAACATTTCCCGGCTCACCTCGTGCGTGTACGCCAAGTTCTCTCGCGGTTACGAGAAGCCGGATTCAAGCTGAAAATGAAGAAATGTCACTGGGGGCGGAGTCAAGTTGCGTTTTTGGGGCACATCGTGACACCTTCCGGTATTTTGCCTAACCCTGAAAAAGTCAAAACAGTGATGAATGTGCAGAGACCTTGCGACTTACATGAGATCAGATCGTTCTTGGGTCTCACTAATTACTTTCGGAGGTATATTCCGGGGTATGCTTCCATATCGGCCCCTCTGGAACGTTTGAAAGCAAAGGATACACCGTTCGACTGGAACGACGATTGTGAATCCGCGTTCCTGCAACTCAAGCAAGCCCTCATGAAGCCTCCGATTTTTGTATATCCTGACCTAAATAAGCGGTTCTCGCTTGATGTGAATTCTTGGCGGTACGCTGTGGGGACCTGCCAAGTGCAACAAGTGAACGGTCGAAACCGTGTGGTTGCCTATGCGAGTAAATTGTTGACCGGTTCGCAGAAGAACTGGATCAATAAATTGGACGGTATCTCGGATATTGAGTATTGGGGGTGATCTGGTCTACTAGAAAGTTCCGATGTTATTTAGACAAGCGAGAGTTTGATCTCTACACCGATCATCAGGCCTTAATCTGGATTTTTAGTCCCAGCAACCGTACTAGCAACGCTAAACTAGCTAGGTGGGCTATGGAATTGTCGAACCTTCAGTTCAAAGTGTATCACAACCCCGGGACGGCAATGGGGCATGTAGATGGTTTATCTCGACCCTCGGTCGAGCGTGTGGTCGCATTGACAATGGCTGACTTATTGAACCCTATTAACGGACCGTTCCCTGAAGACCCGCCAATGTCAGAAGGAGACCCCGAGCCCGTGGTGACCGACGCTCTCGAAATGGTACCCGAGGCCGAATTCGACGATGACTTTTCGGATGAAGAGATGACAGAAGACGAGGAAGACGAAGTGCCCCCTTGGGAATCGCCTGTGGATCCGGTGGATGAGTTCCGTCTCGACGCTGAACAGTTCGTTGTTGAGCAGCAAAGCGTCTCATTGATTAAATTGCTCTGTGCGTTCCTGAAAGACGGTGCGATCTCCTTGGATCCCTTCCTCCGTTCTCAGATAGTAAAGATGGCTCCTCGGTATAAAGTCGAAGACGGGGTTTTGAAGTGCCGAGTCAACTTGCCGGCTCGTGCCGTACCAGGTATGGGCCGGTTGTGCCTCCCTCCTACATAGAGACTGTGTTGCACTTCTGTCACGATGATGTAATGTCCGCCCATTTGGGGGTTACTATGACGCTGGGGCGTGTCGTCAACAAGCGTTCTGGCCTGGTTGGGGGAAAGATGTGAAGGAGTTTGTTCGTGAATGCAGTTATTACGGTGCTGGTAAAGGGTCTCGCCCGTGGAGATCTGGACAAATGCAAAGGATGTCCGTCGTAGACCTTTTTCGCTGGTAGTGGTCGACGCTGTTGGACCTCTCGTGTGGACCGAGCGCAACAACAAGTACATCCTTATCTTTGTCGACTACTTCACGCGTCGGGCCGAAGCCTTCGCGGTTAAACGGTTGGACACTGTGACTTTTGTAGAGACGTTGGTGAACGGTGTGGTTTCTCGGCACCGAATTCCATCTCGTCTGTTGAATGATAGAGGTTCTAACTTTATGTCGGACCTGGCCAAATCATTCCACAAGTCTTTAGGGATCAAGAAACTGTTTGGGCCTGCCTATCATCCCCAAACGCAGGGTCTCGTAGAACGGTTCAACGGAACCCTCATTAGGATGTTGAAAATGTACGTGAGTGAAGCTCAAGAAGATTGGGACGTCTATCTTCCCCGTGTACTATTCGCCTATCGAACGGCCTACCATGAGGCTCTTGGAGATACCCCTATCTTCTCTTTATATGGCCGAGACCCGGTGCTCCCGTTGGACGTAGCTTTCTTAAACCTAGGTGAAAATGGAAAAGCAGCGAAGTGGCTCAATATCGTCGTGAGTTGCATAAGTCGCTGAGAGACGCCCGTCGTGTCGTTGAACGCCAGTTGATCAAGGCGCAGGACCGGCACGAGAAACAACTACAGCATCAAGTGACCGTTCATTTCGAGATCGGTGATCCGGTTTGGGTTTATCAGTTATTCCGGCCTCGTCGAGGGGGAAACCGGATAAAGAAGTTAGCGTTCCCCTGGCATGGACCTTACCGTATTGTTGGCAAGGTCGGGGAGAACGCTTACTCCGTGGAAATATATCTCACCCCAACAGGTTTGAGGGGACTAAGGACGAACGATCCCCAGCTCGCCTAGTTAGTGAGGGTTATGCTTCCTACCGAAAGGATCTCGAAGAGCAAGAAGAAGCGGAGCGATTGAGTGAAGCCTTCTGGCGTCTCGATGGAGGGACGACGTCATGCGTCACCCTGTACCGTCTGTGAGCGGGATACGAGCTGAACAGAGGAAGATGAGAGCTAAGATGAAAGCTGCTTAGGATGGCGAGGCTTTACGAGGACGTCAAGCCAAGGTCGGGGAGAATGTCACGTGTGGAAAGGATGGTCACCGTCTTGGAGACCACTCTGAGCCTCCTCATGCGGTCATCCAGGTTGCTGAGGATATCTGGGAAGACCAGCCGATTGAAGGGGCGCGGTCAGCGGCTGCTCGCAGACCCAAATCTGGGACCCGGACCCCGTTGGACTATTAAGTGGCGTGCGATGACTGTCATTCGAAAAGACGCCCGCTAAGAACAAGGTATGCTGCTGTGGACCGACAGTGCCACTAGTGCACATGCGAAACCTTAGTGCCTAGGATGGAAGACATGGCCTCCACGGCTTCCCAAGGACTGTGCCTACGTGCTACGCAAGTGGGCGGGGTGTCGCGAGTTGGTGGAAGGTGTCGTGAGCAGGCGGAAAGTGCCGCGTCATCCTGGAGTGTGCAGCGAAGAGTGCGACTTTGATAAAGAAGAGAGGGCTGCTCTGTCGTCCTGAGTTGCTGACTGCGGAGACAAAGTAAGTTGTAGCTCAGTTGCGATTTTGCCTTAAGCTGAACAAGTTGAATATTGTGTATTTGGACAGGATCTTACGCACCACTTTTCCCGTTTCACAGTCTACGCATTTTTCCACATATCGCTGAACGCTTCGATATAACCCTCTCCAGTGGAAGTGATCCCTGATCCGCTGGTAGGTACGGCGTACTCCCTGATGTCCACCCTCTAGCGTGGTGTGATAATGATGTAAGACGTCCGATTGCAGCGTTTGGGGAACTACCAGTCTCAGCAACCGACCGCGATCATCCCCCGATCTCGACGTGGGAGGACAGTAGAAGAGTAGATCATGTTCGTCCACATCATAGTCGGCCGCAATCTTGCCGTACGATCTTGCTTCTGCTTGCGTGAGGTCTGCGATCTAGCAACTCAGATACTTCTTCATGCCTGCGATCCAGACTTCTTTCTACTGAGCCTGCCCGATCCGATCGACCCGCATCTCTCGGATCAGGTCCTCTTGCATGACTCCCGCGGGCGATTTTACTCGAGAAGCTCGGGTGGTGACCGCTACAACTCGCACCACTGGGTGCTCGGTCTTGGGAATCAGGATTTCGTCCAACCGGTTCAGGGCGACCAGGTCATGGTGTTCGGGCCCTCCTTGGATCACGATCCCGCTTTGTTGTTGCAAACGGCACTCGCTAGATTGTCGGCACTCCCATTCCAGTCTCTCTTCACATGCACTAGTTCATGATCGTTCCATTTCCTCAGGCGATCGAGAGCCTTCAGCTTCAATAGCGACAGCCCGGGTGCTTTGCAATCGATCTCGCCCCGTACTTGTCGGATCACTCAGTTGGAATCACCGCAGATCACTAGGCGCTTGCGATCTAGGTCCTCTAGCATGTCGCGCCCCAGGAGCAGGCTGTCGTATTCTGCTTCGTTCATGGTGAGGCTCTCGAGATAGCCCGATCTAGCTTTGACCACCTCCCATCCGGGCAGACTCCACACGATCGCGCTGAATGCGCCTCACCACGCTTCACTCGAGCCGATCCATCAAAGCTGACTACCCATAGTTCCTCTTCTCGATCTACGGTGGGTATCGGCGTTTGGATCCGACCTTTAGGTTCCTTCCGAGGGGTGATATTGGTTAGAGCGTCGTCCAGCTTTGCCCTCGGCGTGATGTTGGCAGCGATCGCCCCCAGTATCTCGTCCTCTCCTTTCGTACACTTCGTAATCTCGAGAGTCCACGGGGCCAGGAGAGCTGACCATTGCCTTAGACGACCCTGTAATCCTGTTGACTTGAACAGCCAGGCTAAGGTGGAATGCCTCGTTAGGACCCGGATCTCGCGTCCCACCAGTAAATTGTAGTAGAGATCCAAGATCCTCTGTAATACCAACACCTCCTTTTCGGTCACATTGTAATTCAACTCGTTCGTCTTCAGGCTGCGGCTGGCGAACGCAACTGGATGGTAGGTCCCGTCGTGTTCTTGCGTCAACGAAGCGGATATCGCCCAATCACTGGCATATACAATAACTACCGGCGTTCTCGTTTCGTCGAAGTGGCGAGAATTGGAGTCATCGCGAGCTTGGTTTTCAAGATGATGAAGGTCTTATGCGCCCTGATCAACCTCTCATCTAATGGTTCTGCCAGCTGCAGTTCCGGTGGGTCGTGATCCCGTGCAATCGGGTCGTTCTGGTCCATGATCTCCCTCAGATCCGGCCGTTTCTCCAGTTCTGCAAACTCTACCTCGCGTAGTTCGTATAGCACCGAGGCGTAAATAACGTAGTCTTCAATGAATCGGCTGTAATAGTTCAGACTACCCAGGAACGACTGCATGGATCGAAGTGATCCGGGGAATGGCAGATCGGTCAGGGATTTCAGATCTTTTGGGTTTGCCTCTAGACCTTCGATCGTCTTTCGGTGCCCCAGATATCCTATCTTATCCATGCCTCATAACCGCTTTGTCACACTGATCGATAAATTCCACTTATCACAAGCCTCCAACA